TGACTTTTCTTACATTCTATCAGATCATAATTCAAGCGATTCCTTTTATAAAACTAAGATAACAATACATATTTAAACTCGCTATCTCAGTAACTCAGATAAGAAACATAACAAATGAGTCTTTCTAGCTTATCAACACTACAAAACGAGTGAACATTCCAGTGGTCACATAAAATTTGTTCTTTTCTTATTTTGTTTTCTAGTCTATTGACAAGAAGAATGACGAACAGTATGATTAGAAAGAAAAATAAAATCGTTACATTTGATGCCTATAGTTGAACTTCATTTTCTCCCATTTTTTGCTTATACGCTCTAGAATCGCCATGTAGATGATTTCTCATGTGTAACAAAACGAGGATTATAGTTGCTGAAAGTTTACTCGAAGAAGCTAGCAAAACTCCATAAATATGCTTTAAATCATCAACAATCGTCCTAGATAATGCTTTTTCTCCGAAACATTTGCTTCAGTTTGATGGTGCTACGTTCAACGAGAACAAACGCTACTCACTTAGCGCCTTCTATAAAAATAATTATCTTCGCCACCGTTGAGACGTCATTGATGAAACTTTCTGAAAATGTTTAACTAATAGTCGTTATTCATCACCCAAAATTTCAGCTCAATCCGTCCGGCGAAAAAAAAGTCGACTTTTTCAATTCTCTCATAATGTTTACGTTGTACTTTTTATAGGTTGAACTCGTTATTCTATCAAAAGGGGGCGTAAACGGATTAAACGTATTTTGCACAAGAATTTCGAAATATTCTATCCAGCCGATATCTTCCTCGATTTTAGCAAATTTATTTTATTTTAAAAAGAAATGAAGCAAATGTGAAGTTACCGAAAAAAAGAATATTCAGAAAGAAACGCTCTTACTGTTTATACACTTTTTCAATAGATAGAAGTTTGATATTTTCTTCTCTCATCTGACGATAATTTATGTTCAATACGTTTAAATTTAATATATATTTTAATTTCAGAAGGAATTTGGATTTTTTCACCTAACATTGTCTGACATTCTTCTGAACGAAATCGATGAACAAGATACACCAAGTTGTAATGCAATGGAAATTTTTATCCAGTTATAACCCCATAAATTCCTCAAGAATAACTTTGCAACGGGTTATAACACGACGACCTACGTCTATCGCGTTGTAATGAGATAAATCTATACCGTTGTAATACATTATTTTAAGAAAAAGTATGCTTTATAGCGCTATAAATAGGGAAAAAAGGTTCCTATGGATCTGGTTTCCTGCACTGCTTATGCAGTTTTGGATATTCTTTGTTAATGACTGCTAATGCGATCACCAGTGTTTCTGTGGCATCCTTGGCGCGCTCTGTTATTGTTTGCAAAAGAATGTGATTACTCAGTATACATAGTATCATTTGATTGAACACTGTATGGATATTTTTACCAGTTAATGCTGATGTGTGAGATAAACATATATTATTTTCATTCGCGAATGTCTCCGCTTGATCGACAAATGTTCGAATATTGACATCATTAAGTTCACAATCTTTGATCGCATCTATTTTACCACATAATATAACTAATTCAGCACCATCCATTTTTAGTTCCTTTAGCAGCGAATGCGGTATCTTCGTTGATCTTAAACAGCCGTTTTCTGTGTTCTTATCTTCGACACAACTCTCACTGTACTTTCCTTCAAATTTTGTGAAGTACTTTTAAAAATTAACTGCGTTTTGTTTTATCCTTAGTCAGATGAAACGCGCTTCATGGCGTTTATTTCAGAGAATTTTCGCATATTTTAAGATGCGAAACGCGTGCTCTGGACGAAGTACTTTGAATTTTACTTTATATGAGTAATGCGAAACGTGTTTTTTCCCTTTTTGAAGTCCTTTTTACACCTGAAACGCTGTAGAAAAGGTATGCATTTCGCATCGTTTCTAGAACGAATGCCGCGAACCGCGTTTGATTCCAGAACCGCTACGAAACACATTCGAAAACGAAATGCGTTTCGCATCGTTCCGGAAAACTGCATTTGTAAAACGCGTTTTTTAAATTGAGATACGTCTCAGAGCGTTTCATTTTGAAAACGCTCCCAAATGGTTGTGAAAAGAAATACGTTTCGCATCGTTTCGAGTAACACAGGCTGCTTTCAGACGCGTTCTTTTTAATGACAAACGTAATAAAAAAGCGTTTTGTTCCGACAGAGACAATGCACGATGCGTTTCACTCAATTTTTTAACCCATGGGTGTTCAGAAAAGCAACGGAAAGTCCTACTATGCCATTCGTGCTAAAACACTCGTGTTTCTAGGATAAAATATGTGAAATTGGCAATGAGATCGAGCAGACTTGCTCACACAGGCAGCCATCGTTCAAGTTTCATGTGTCCATAATCTCTCACTTATCATTGCTGCTCTTGCAGGGTCACTCAGACATAATAAAGTCTGGTGGAATTTATCAACAGACGCAGGATATCAATATCCACTATTTCGGTTTTTCTCCTCGGCTTCAAATCCGACCAACATATACTGTGGAAATCCTCGCTGTCCACATGGCAGTCCCGACGATAGTCATATCAATAATGTCGGGGATCAATATGATCGCCACGTCCGGTACTGAGGATAGATCTTACTCAAAGCTCACATTAAACAATTTTTTGCTGCTGTTTCACATTTACTTACAACCAATCAAATAAAACAAGCCAGCGAAACAGGCCATTTTCTATAGTAGATGTTGAATCAACATTCCTCTGGAATAATTCACTATTATCGATTGCTCAAAAGTCTTGAGTGCGCAACAATTAATGTGTTGCCAGGACGACTATTTATTTATGTGTAAAGTACAGAAGTGATTAATATGTGAACGAGTTCAACTCAATTTACTTTCAACAGTAGACCATAGGGTCGGATTGCTTTTTCATCAAACACTCGTAGTGCAAGTCCAACTCTAACCGGCCCATTATGCTCTGTAAATTTATCATTCTCAACTCGACATTGAAATACAATGCGGTAGGTTCTAACAGTTCCAGATGAGTCTCGGATTTTGAAGCCGTCACCAGTATAAATTGAAGCTCCATTCTCGCAATGTGTTGCCACATACAACCCTTTGACATCGGGGATGGAAGGCCGTTGAAGCTTCGCATCAGGTTTACAAGCATCAGCAGTGACGAATTCATGCTTTAAGCCCGCATTCACGATGCTCCTTACTACACCCGATTTTGTTCCATGATACGCGACGATCCACTCACCCGGTGAGTTATTCATGCCCAGCCATACCTGATCATTTGTATATTTATTATCTACTTTCAGCGCATGACGATACCATCCTTGTGGAAAATAGTACGGTCGTCCGCCTCGCTTTTCTTCTTGAGGGTGAGGGTAATCGCGATTGTATCGAGGATCAAGATCAAATTCCTGCAATTGCAAAAAACTGAGTGCTGCTTTCCAGTGATAGTCATAAGGTTCTTGAATCAAATATTGAAGAATGTCCTGACGTTTCTGGGTTGGTAGGTGGTTCAATATGTGTTTTAGTTGTTCAGCTAACTTTTTTGTTTCTTCAAGTTCTGTCGTTGTTATACCAAATTCAATGTAGAGTGAAGATGCGTGACTGATGGAAAACACTCGAATGAATTCTTTCTTACATCCGACAATAGCAGAGATATCATTGATAAATGCGATAGTGAAATCTCGCAACGTTTGAGCCGATGAGGTAACGTCTTCATAGTTAAGTTTCAAATGTAATTTACATTTAGCTGTTTGTACATTTTCTCCTGCTGCAATCATCGAATGAATACTGCCAAGGTTGCCAACGCCACATGCCGTGCGATAGTCACTGTCATCGTATTGAAAGGCCTTTTCGGTAAAAGTGAGACGGGCGCCGAGTTGTTGAGCAAGTTCATTAAGCACAACTATGAGTGTCTCAGTGTTATTAGTGGCGGAAGTAAACGGCTGTGCAACAAAATCGATCGGCTGATCTTTATTTTTCATCGACCGGTAAGTGGATAGACATTCAAACGTGCGAACATCAGCCGGGGAATCTTTGTTGTAATGGACAGGCAACCGTATTTTGTTCACAGCGGGTAATTTGATCGGCTCATACCACGCCGGTGTCACAAGGAGAGTAGTCGATTGATTTGTAGTTTGAGTAGCAGTTATGACTGGTAGAGGTGCGGCAATAGTATGGGTTGGGATAGGGATGATTGGTTGCGTTGGATCTAAAAATAGTTTTTCTACATTACCAAAGATCACGTCGATGACTATTTGCAATGAGTCATCGAATGTATGGAGACAACTTTTATTATTTTCACTTAAAAGTGTTTCACTTTTCTGTATTGGATTGTAAAAACATACCTGGTGCATCTGGCACCTGATGCATGCGATATTGAACGTAGAATATGTACAGAAGAATAATAGCGAATATCACTTCGAGAATCATGTTTCAAATAGTTGTCTCGTTCTAATAAAATACACAATTATAGTAAGTTGTAGTATATGAGATAGGCATCAACCATATGACAGACGGAGTAAACATGCTTTCGAAATTTCATAAAGGAAGAACTGACTAACCTCAAAGGATTGTGTAAAAGACTACAATCAACTTGTTTCAGATATTCTTTTTCCTTATTTTACTCTAGCACTTTTCAATCTATACAGCGAGTCGTAGCCGTCAAATAAAAATAAAAGTTCCCTGACTGCATTCTTGTGCACAAAAAAGCAAAGAAAGACGTCTCATTTTTTACAATGACAGGAATTGCTACCAACAAAACAAAGAAAGAGAGAGAGAGAGAGATGGAGAAAAAGGCAGCTAAACAACTTGTACGGCGTTGACTATACTTGTCGTTTGATTGCTGTTGTTAATAAAAAGAGAAATATTGAAGAAACTTCAATAGTGTATTTTCATTCGATCAATAGAAATCAGAATGCAAAGAGCTTTTCGTCATGTGTTCTTGATTTTGCTCAGTTTCGATTAAGGAAAGTCTTAACCGTGTAGAATTCTGCTTAAAAAATAATGCGCTACTAGCAAAGAGTAACAACAACATAAATGAGAGAGAGAGAAATGAAAATGTGTTACATTCTTGAAAAAACGTTCCGATAGGTCGTGAAGATTGTTTTTGATAGGTAGACACTGAAGTAATTCAAAGAATTAAGTTTGAAGTGTTTTAAAAGAGGATATTCGTTTAGAGGGATAATAACTTTTAATAGGCACATGTATCAAAATCGATTCTCATAACATCCATTCCGACATGTTTTGTTTTTTTCTATATGAAATTCCAGTTTTTCGAATAAACCTGCATTTTTGATCCATAGTCAGACATGGGTGTAATTTAGTTGTTTTGGAAATTCGAGTATTTTATTAATCATATACTTTGCCACACCTTCCCCACGATATTCTGCCAGACAAACTCGATGTTTCTTCACAAGAACTTCATCTTTTTTCCTTTAAGATCCGATGTTTTCAATTTTTTTTCGAATTTGAGATTTTTTACTTTTATTAATATCTGGCACATAACAAGACCATCTTATGCGAAAATAATCATTTTTTAACTCAAAAAAAATAGATATCCGCCTGCTCTATGGAAAAATGCCTGCTGTGAGACGGTCACTTCTCAGTGTGTATTTTACACACATACACCGTGTAGTCTAGACGGTCACTGGGAAGAGATTTGACATAACGTACAACTTTCAGAAAACAATGTTTATAGAGATAAACTATTTCTTGCTCGTTAAAAAAATCACCAAAATTTTGAAGTTTTGATGCGCATGAAGAAAATAAGCTTCATTTATTCTTAGCGATTATGGAAGGTAAAGGTTATGATGGTCTATCTGTTGACAGACACACGCATAACAAAATATTATAGGTAATAGGCTTTTGCCAAAACATAAGTAAATCCAAGGCTATATCATCAAACAAAGAAAAGCAATATAAGGTGGATAACAATTATACATAATGCATGGCTCGATGCAGTTTGGTGAACTGAGTCCATATATATTATTAGTATTGATTGAAAATGCTTTTACAGAAGTAGAGAAATGTAAATTACTTTTACGACTATTTGTAAGGCGAATAGCCAATCAAACTTTTTTTTCTATATTTAGAAACATTAATTTCAAAACAAGATATTCCTTTTCTTATTAAAAGTCACCTGTTACTAATATCAGAAAAGTTTTTATTCTCGGCTTGTGCGGCTAATGGTCCCCTCTTTTTGCTCTTTTTCAAAAGATTCTTGCAATAAAATTAAAAGCGATGTAGAGACCATTGACAATCTTTCAGATACTTTGAACATTTCTCTACAAAATAAGATATGTATCGACTTTGGACGATGTATTGGTGCTGTGACACAGTGATTTTAGAAACAGCTCCAAAAATCGATTCTGGAGCCTTCTAAAAAACGAAGAAAGTAGTTAAAAGAACGCAGAAGAATCTGTAAACTATATTCAGTTTGTAGAGAAATATTTGCGGTACACCGACTCTTCCGCCAATAAAATTCTTTTCACACTCACTCTTACGCTGCTTAGTGCCACCATAGAGTCGCTTCGCGGAAGAGTCGTGTCACGAATATTTACTATACAAGGTACAATTTTTTCTTCCTCTATCCGCAATAAACTCGCGTGATTCATAGAGAATTGTGACAACATGTTGTATTTCTCTAGATACGCAAGAATGTTAACACCGATTTTGTTTCGGTAATGTTCTGCGTATACATTCTCAACATAAGTTCAGAGAAAAGTTACAGCAAGGCAGTCTCGAAGACTGCGTGCGTAGTAAGGGCTAGTTCAAGTTTCCAAGGCTTGAGCTTTTCTATAACAAATAGACGGTTGTAAAACATATATCTTTAAATATTGGAGAGGCATAGGCTTTCACCATTTTCTTGCTTTTCTCAATTTTGATACAAATCTCAAAAATTTGAATATGAAATCTTTTTTGAGCCATTACAGATGCAGAGTAACCATTTTTCTACAAAATAGGACGTTCTCGAGCGCTCGACTTTTCCACTCGAGACCTGATTTCTTGATGAGCTGGCGAACCGTCTCTCTTAACTAGCTACCTAGAAAAGTTTGACGTAAAAGTCGATACGAAACCTTTTCTAAACGGAAAGATATAGAGGATCCGTACCGAATCCCTTCCGAACGGAACCTTAAAATGGTTCGAAATCCCGAAGCTTTCTATAGATTCTGTGAAAAAACACTTTTTGGAGTGTATTCAACATAGTTCCCGTTATCGAGGAAAAGAGAAAATCTTCCACTAATGTGTTTGCTTAGAATACGCCATTCATTGTTTAGTTTTTTATTTTTTCTATATTGAATAACATTATTTTTATGAAGCGTGGATTTCATAAGTCAATTTTTTTGTATTGATGTTGTTGTTGTTAATCTAGCTTTCTCGTTATAAGTATCATGAGAAGCTCACCATCTGTTAACTGGTTCTTTCTTCTAGTTATTCATTCGTAATGAATTAATAAAACAAGAAAATTACAACATGCAACAATTGATATTTGTTCTGTTTTTATCAATTTATGTGGTGTTATTAAATGCCGGATCAATATTTAATAATAAAAGTAGGCAAAAAGAAATTTATACGTACCTTGTAATGTAGTATGAATGCTTGAAGTTTCGTTGAGTTATACATATTTTATCTTGAAAGCTTCTGCTAGAGAAGAAGTTTGCTGTTCTTCTGTTGGTTAAAATAGTGGTTGGAAGGAAGCCACGAAATCCGTATTGTGCCAAAAGAAACGAAAAAGCCATAATTGCAGCTGATGTAAACTTACAACAGTATAAGACATGTTGCTAAATGAGAATAGAAACATCAAATACTGTTGTTTGCTTTTTTTACAGTAAAAGATGAGCCAGTCCAATGGATTAATTGTAGTACATGGACAGATCAAATGGCAATTGAAACAGTTGAAGCTAATATGTGGCCTCCAAAACGTCATCAGTTGTTGACTGTCTCGGCGTTGGGCTCTGGCAAGGAATCATTTATATATGGTGCATACAATAAAACGATTGTCTATGAAAATTATTCACTACCCTCACGACTTGGTCCGTTGACTGATCTTGGAATCACATTACCCACGTCACCTGGTAAATTGAAATTAGTGATTTTCAACGCAACCATTCCAGACGTGGCACCACAAGGAAAATATGAAGCGTACATACGAGCATCAGAGCAAGATCATTTTGAAATTATTTGTGTCAAAATTCAATGGGAATTAGGGCCTAAATAAACGATTGTCTTTTTTAGAGCTTATCCCAAAAAATAAATAATGATTAAGTGTCACTAACGAGATAATCCCTTTACTTATTCTGAATCGTCCTCTGAGATTCTAGGGTTAAGAAGACACAAGTTTTTAAAACTCTGACCAACAGGCCATTATTTTTCAAAAAGTGGATTAATAGTCATTAAAACTTCTTGTCCATTCATAAGTCAAAATTGAGTATAGAACTGCTAGACCATCAAGAACTCATAAGTCAATCAACAGTAATCTAGATTTTGCATAAAAATCTCGTTATGCTTTTTCTAGTAGTTCTATACTCAATTTTCTCTTCTTTCCTTGATACTACACCACTCTCATATGTCCACAATCTCCATGCAATGTATCAACAACAAATACTCCGAACTTTTTTTAACTAGAGTACTTATAAATAATCCATTTTTCAGTGACCGCCCTTCTAGACTGGCGGATTCTGGAAAACTTTTGCGGCGTTGGAAGTATTGGAACTCATTACACATATATTTTCATAAGAAAACTTTTCGAGGGTACATCTAGTCACATTTAACTCTACTATTCGATTCTTCCACGAACACGTTTTCTTCTCAAAGCATGATCTAACTGAACTGAGCTTTTTTTACAAGGCAAAGAGGTTGTATATTAAAATCATGGAATTTATAGAATTGTGATTTAACTTTTTTTCGATTTAAATCTTTTTTGTAGTAAAATTAAAATAAACAACAAAGATACGTCACTTTAGACGTTGAACTTCTATAGAGAAAAGCAAGAAGAGGATTTATTTCTACTTCTAGATGATGCAAAAGAGACAGAGTCCGTTGGTAGATTTGCTGTACATTTGAAATATGTTGAATTCAGAAAAGTCTCTATCAGACACTTGCAAAATAATAGCATATTTGAGAATAGAGGATGCAACGGTAACGGTAATCGCACCTTACCGGTTACCGGTCCAATCGGTTCTGACTGGTTACCGTTACCGATCTGAACCGATTGCAAAAGCTACGGTCGGAGTTGTACATGTGCATATTATTTTTTACCCCTTCTCCTTTGATACGAAATTTTTTATTAGATGTTATTTCGAATCACTTCTTGGAGAGCATATTATTGCTTGTATACCAAGAATTTGTTTCATAAAATAGTCAACATGTAAAACAATAAACTTGAAAAACAAAAGAAATATAAATGTTTTTTTAATCACAATTCTCTGTTAATCAACATAACGTTGAAGAAAAACACTTTTTAACATGGAACAATCAGTGTAACTCAAACTAACTTAAGAACTTACATCACTCACAGAACCGGCTGGACCGGTAATGGTAACCGGTCACAACCGGCTAGATCAGTAATGGTAACCGGTGAGAACCGGTTGAACCGGTAACGGTTAACCGGTTGTCAACTGTTACCGTTGCATTCCTATTTGAGAAAGCTCCACAATCTTGAGAGAGATCATCCATTAAAACAAACATAAGTTCTTGAAACTGCCACCACCGCGAATGGCACGTTACCATTCGCACTGAAAGGAAAATGATTATTGAACTACAGTGATGTTTGTTTCTACGGAAAAAAGCAAATCAAACGTATATGGATAACTTCGTTTGACTGCAGTATTTATTTCGAGCCAAAAGGCTGTACGCCATTTCGATTCAATATCAGTGACGCATCTTGAGCTTTTAGAAACATTAATGGTAATATGTAAACTGAATTTTTTTATACGTTTGCAAAATGTTTTTAATATATTTTCCCAACGTTCACCATCAACATGTGACCAATCTCCATAACCTTGAATTGTCAGTTGTTTCATGTTTGGCATCTTTTGTAGTAACGATTGAATATGTGGCTGAAGTTCTAGTCCTCTCCAAATAAATAAACTTAACTGACACAAGCTCCCCATTGTCGGTATTTGTTCCGAAGGCAGTATGGTAATACCGCCATGATTTATCGAGACAGACATTTCCATTAGTTTAACATTCGGAACGTACGATAGTAAACGAATAAAATCATTTAAACGTAAAGTATAAATTGCTATAGTTTGTAAATTTGTTGTTATTGTGTGTAGATCTATAAGTAATGCTTCTTCACCACTATGAGTGTGGAATAAATTCAGATGCTTTAAGGAAGTCGCTTCTCTAAATACAACGTCAAAAACATGTCTTAGTTCGTTAACATCAGGTTCGTAAGAATAAACCCGAGAGAAACGAATTGTTAAACGAGTTAAACGTTTTAAACAAGCCAGTTTATCAATTGTTTCAGATATATACTGTTTTTTGAAATTGTCCAGCTTTAACGACCGAAGCGATTTTGAAAATATTTCCAGTGGATATTTTAACAAAAATTCGCCTATTTCCCATCCTAATTTTATAAAAACGACATTATCAACATTAATCGAGATGGGCAAGACATGGTCTGTGTATTTCTGCATTTTTGCTCCATCAATACGATGTTTCATTCCTTGAATAATACTGTCGACATGTGAATTTAAACCTTGGAATGCTGTGTAGATTTCATGATACCACATGTGGTCGAATATTTCCCATATTAACTCGACTGATAAATCTTCTAGTACCGTTGTGATATGCCGGGAATAACCAGACATTGTCAATCAGACGAATACTTGTGAACAGTCAACCGATACGCAAGAAAGAAATCAGAAGAAATGAACTTACTTCGTAGACATTCTCTGCTTTCTTTATGTTTACTTTCATAACTTTAATAAAAACCGAACTGTTATGCAATAACTTTCACAAAATGTGAAAAGAAATGAAAAGAGCTGTTAATGTGACACTGTGTACGTTCTTTTATCCCTGTCTGTACGCGAAGAATAATGAGAAGGAAAAAATGCATATCACGTTTTCGATAGAATTCATTGAATTTCTGGTTGTGTTAAAATTCGAACTGAAATTCATTGGATGAAAATTTTAGATTTAAATAAGCTTCAACTAACATTTCATTTCCCTATATTTCTTTATTATGCTCACGCACAGCTACCAAGATCTCGGACGAGGGCGTCTCACGATGAAATCTCCAACACAGTCTATTAGTGGCGTCCTCGTCGGAGATCTCGGTAGCTGTGCGTGGGCATAATAAAGAAATATGAGGAAATAAAATGTTATTTGAAGCTTATTTAAATCTAAAATTTTCATCCAATGAATTTCAGTTCGAATTTTGAATATCCTATATGTTTTAGTGACACTATAGCGGATGCACTTAGTCGTCAGTCCTCATACTATACTAGTAAATATAAATAAAAACGTTCTCTTCTTCGTTTGTTCTATTCTCTTGCTTATATGCTACAATACTCGTCATTTTAAAAACAACGAATAAACCGGAAGTATATAAATATACATGAATGTGTGTGTGTACCCACAATACAATAAAAGGAGCCGAAAGTAAACAAAATAACATAAATTAGAATTTAAATGCGGTAGAACTGCTGAAGGAGAAAGCAACCGAACATTTTTAAATGCTCCCTTAGTAAATAAGGATTCGATAGATCGAAAGGTTTTATCAATGACTCCTGTGAAAGTGTTATTTTAAAACTCACGAACGGTGTCCAGACGATGTACCTTTTTCGTATATATCTTGACGCTACACAGCACTCCCTCTACTATGTGGAACCAGCATTCTATATATCGTAGTTCTGAATAGTTGGGCACAGTTCCCATAGCTCTCGATGTATACTATGCATAGTTTTGTATAGTTCTGCACAGCCTTCGATAGTCTTGTATACTCCTGTGTTGTTCTCACACTTCACATAGTTCTCATTGAATACTAAAAATAGTTCTGTGTACTTCTGCATGATTCTGATAGTTCTCAATGTATACTATCGATAGTTCTGAATAGTACTGCGTACTTCTCATAGCTCTCATTGGATACTGTGAATAGTTCTGAATACTTCTGTGTAATTTTCAATAGTTCCGAATAGTTCTGAATAGCTGTGCCTAGTTCTCCATAATTCCCATGGTTCCCAATGTATACTATGAATACTTGTGAATAGTTCTGTATAGTTCCTATAGTTCTCAATGTATACCAGGAATACTTCTGTATAATTCAGAATAGTTGTTGCATGATTCAGCATAGCTCTGACTAGTTCTGTATAGTGCTCTGTAGGTCTCATAGTTCAAAGAATTGTTCTAAACATTGAAATCGGTGAATAGTTCTCAGTACTTCGTCATAGTTCTCTATACCTCTGGATAGTTGTGAGTAGTTTAGGATAGGTCTGTATAGTTCCGCATAATTCTCATTCTTCTCAATGTATGATGAGTGTAGTTCTGAGTAGTTTTGAATAGTTATGCATTGTTCTGCTTAGTTCTCATAGTTCTCAATGTATAGTACGAATAGTTCAGAATAGTTCTGAATAGTTCGGGATAGTGTTGAATAGTTCTCTATACTTCTGCATCGTTCCCAATGTATACTATGAATAGTTCTGAGTGCTTCTGTATGGTTCTCAATAGTTTTGTATGGGTCTGAATAGTACCGCACGGTCCTCCATAGCTCTGAACAGTTCTGGATAGTTGTGTTTAGGTCTTACAGTTCTCATGTTTCTCATTGCATAGTGTGAATAGGTCTGCATAATTCTGAATAGCTGTAAATAGTTCTGCACGGTGCTGGGTAGTTCTGCATCGTTCAGCATAGCTCTGAATAGTTCTATGTAGTTCTGTGTGGTTCTCATAACTCAAACAGTTCTTCTGAACGTTCAATTCTATCAATGGTTCTCAATAGTTCGTCAAACTTCTCCATAGCTCTGAAAAGTTCTGACAGTTTTCAATGTATACTGTGAATAGTTCTGTATAGTTCTGAATAGTTCTAGCAGTTCTAAATGTAGACTATGAATGGTTCTGAATACTTGTGAATAGTTCTGTATAGTTCTCACAGTTCGCAATGTCGACTATGAATAGTTCTGCGTAGTTCTGTGTAGATATGGATAGTCCCGTATAGTTCTAATACTTGAAATAGTTCTTCTGAACAATGAATTCTGTGTATAGTTCTGAATAATTCTGAATGGTTCTGTATAGTTCTGTTGAGTTCTCATAGTTCTCAACGTATACTACGAATAGTCGGAATAGTTCGGGATGGTTCTGAATACTTTTGCCTAGTTCTGAATAGTTGTGAATAGTTCTGCGTAGTTCTCATAGTTTGGAACAGTTCTGATAAGTTCTGAATAGTTCTGTATAGTCCTGTTTAGTTCTCATAGTTCTCAACGTATATTACGAATAGTTCTGAAGAGTTCTCAATAGTTTTGTGTAGTTCTGCATAGTTCTGCGTGGTTCTCCATAGTTCTGTATAATTGTGTTTAATTCTCAAAGTTCTCATGGTTCTCATTGAATCCTGTGAATAGTTCCGAATAGTTCTGCATAGTTCTGAATGGTTCTGTTTCTTTTTGAATAGTTCTCATAGTTCACGATGTATACTATGAATAGTTCTGAATAGTCTGCATAGCTCTGTATTTCAGTCTTGACATTTCGTTTGTTCCACAGTTAAACAAGATTAATAACCTTAATAAAGAAGATTTCACTTTAATATGACTCGATCAAACATTGAATACTGAAGAAAATGATCCTGGACAAGTATCAAAGCTTCGTCAAGTTGTTGATGATCTAATAACATATTTCGACACAAAAGAATGTGAAGACTACATTCAAACACATAACAACGGAGACATCATTTCCATCGTTTCTGAAACATATGGACAGCATATTGTGCCCAATATTCGTGACTTAATACAAATAAAACGCATTTATGTGTCTTGTCACAATGAAGACCGTCACGTTGAATGGGTCAGAAAATACAGCAAAGTAAACAACAACATTTTTACACAAACTCAAAAACGTATCGAAGATTCGGGAATGTCAGCAAGAATTATTAATACAAAAATCTGGAGTTGATGTTGAGAACAGGACAGTTGACTTTAAATGGGCACGGCTTTTAACTGACTCATTGATTCGGTTACCTCCAAAACCCAAAGCAAAACTTGAAGTGATAGAAACATTGAGAAAATTGTATCATGATAATCCAGCGATCCTACAGTTTAGCGATAAGTTTGAGAAAAATGAGCAAAATGAGAGTGCTTTGACATGGCATACAAAAGAAGGATGTCTCTATAAAATCGTGAATCGAGTATTTCGTGAAGAACAGATCGATGAAATATATAAATGTCGTGCGTTTATAAAAAGCTTATCAGAACAACTAAATCAACTTACTCAGATCAGATCAAAGAATATCGTGAATGGAGCATTCCGAAAATCACAGTTTGTCGGGATCAAGCTGTAGGGAGGGATTCAGGATACAAATATCTTAAAGTCAAACAAAGGCCAATTGATTTCGATCAATGGCTTCTTGTCCACAAGTGCAGAAGAAGCACTAGCTTTGGGCTTCGCACACGCATCGGTTGCAGACAATGGTCTACAATCAGTTCTATTCGAATACACCATCGGGATCAGCGACGAGCAAAGGCAGACTATATAGGTGCACTTGAGTATTGCCAAAGGCACTTGATATTAGCAAACAAACCGCGGCTGAAAACCATGCAGGTATTGCACTTGATATCTGGAAATAAGCTCTATCTGAAAATCATCCAGACACTGCAGCAAGCTACAGTCAAATTGGAGAAGTCTATTCTCAAAAAGCTGACTATGATAATGCACTTGAGAATTGCCAAACGGCACTTGATACTAGGAAAAAAACTCTGCCTGAAAAGCATCCCGAGATTGCAACAACCTACGATAATATTGGGACAATATATCGTCATAAAGACCACTTTGACGATGCACTAGGCGATTTCGAAATAGCACTTGATATTACAAAATAGGCTCTGCCTGAAAAGAGACCAGATATTGCAACAAGCTACAATAATATTAGCGCAACATATCATCAGAAAGGTGACTATGATCATGCACTTGACTATTATAAAAGGGCACTTTATATTTGGAAACAACCTCTATCAGAAAAGCATCACGAGGTTACAACAAGCTACGATAATATTGGTGCAACATATTATCAGAAAGGCGACTGTGATAATGCAGTTACCTATTTAGAAAAGGCACTTTCTGTTTGAAAACAAACTGTGCCAGAAAAACATGCAAATGTTACATTATGCTACAATAATATAATGACATGTTACGTTCACTATATCGCAAATAATATTGTAAAATTGTAAAAATAAACTGCGATATTCTAAGTAACTGTTTATGTTCAATTGTGGATTTTTGTCTCATATTATATAAAATTGTGTGATATTGTGTTTTAATAATAGACACTTTTATTCGAAATATATTATATCCTTGGTCAGTACTTAGATTTACTAGAGTTATTTATGAATATATAAACTACAATGTCGTAAATTCGTAATTTTTGTATACAATTTCTCTTCGCTTACTTTTTCAAAATACTTCGATATTCCTATGTGACTATATTGCCTTAGGTTCAAGCGTTAATGTGATATTTCGATATTGTTCTATTGTTATAATTTGATATAGGAATATTGTTTTATTATGATATTATAACAGTTTCTATATGAAAAGTATATAGCGATATTACGATATTGTTACAATGTTTATATTAAGATTATAGAACAATATTATGATATATTGATATTGC